CTGTGGTCCAGAAAGCCTCCCACACCTCCCCAAAGTGACCTTCTCCCAGTTTCCTCTGGAGCCTGAACTCCTCTCTGGGCCTCTCCCACGGCTCCATGTCGAACAGCTCCCGCTGCACAGAGACAACACGGTGAGTCCACACTCGCATTTCCTTAAACACCGAGTAATCAAACATCATCTGACTCAGCAGTTTAGGGTGAGCCGCGTCAGCACGAGCTGAGCCACAAACACAAGGCTCGTGGCGGGAAACGCATGTTAACCAGGGAGGCGGAGCCTGACAGCTGCTTACTGCAGCATCTCCACTCAAACTGCACTCAGTCAGTCACGTGCTCTGGATGCTAACGGACCTGAACAACGTTCACGTGCATCCATTCAAACCTGCAGCGTGGCATCGAGATCCAGAAACTGGTTAAAACACGTTTTCGTTCTTCTCAGGCAGACGCACCAACGCCTCGGCATGTGGACAGCAGCGACAGTTTCATGAACGGCACAGAGACTCCAGCAGGTTTCTCATAAATTTACTGACAATCAGACGTTGGTTCTACCGATCGAGAGCATCAGCAAATTAACACGACAGAAACGATTCACTCGTGTTGGGTTTTGTTCAGGTTTTGTAATTACAGGGAAAAGGCAGTTACTCTACACTGCATTGATGAAATCTGCTGTTTTCTGATGAACATTTGGGTTCAGCAAATCGATATTAAAATCACCACAAATTCTTTATCATTTAGGTTGCTAAACATAGCAGCAAGTACGGTGGCACGTACTTGCTGCTATGTTACGGTGGCACGGTGGTTAGCACTGTTGCCTCACAGCAAGAAGGTCCTGAGTTCAATTCCACCATCAGGCCGGGGTCTTTCTGTGTGGAGTTTGCATGTTCTCCCCGTGTTTGCGTGGGTTCCCTCCGGGTACTCCGGCTCCAAAGACATGCAGCTTGTGGGGATAGGTTAATTGATTAATCCAAATTGTCACTAGGTATGAATGTGTGAGTGAATGTGAGTGTGAATGGTTGTCTGTCTCTGTGTGTTAGCCCTGCGACAGACTGGCGACCTGTCCAGGGTGTGCCCCGCCTTTCGCCCTATGACAGCTGGGATAGGCTCCAGCGACCCTGAAAAGGATAAGCGGATGGATGGTGTCAAAGCATGATCCTGGTGTCCTATAAATGCAACTTATAATTATATCATCAGCTTTTCCAACATGGATTTCAACACATTCCAATACGTCATCTGTGGTGCTTGACATACATTCAATCAGAACTTTATCTGCATATAAAGCGACAACGCCTCCTTTTTTATTCACCCTGTTCATGTAAATAATTCGTATCCTTTCATTTCACTAACTTTCTCATTGTTTCTGATATTGAAATTATATTAAACTTTAACTTACTTAAACATTCTGTAATTTTAGAGTAAATTTTTATACAGGCTTCTACTGTTGAAATGTGTGACCGATGCGTTTTCCATTTTAACATTCATACTGAATTGGTCGTGTGTATAGAACAAGTGTTATTGTTGTTCTTGGTTATCGGGGTCGGTGTTACTTTCAGGGTCGTGCGTGTTGTGCTCTGCATCGTTAAACGTTTTGAAGTTCGTTTTCTCAGCGTGTGGCCTGTCTTTCAGCAGCCTTTTTCATTAAATGTTCATTTAAATACACACCGTCCCCTTTAGCTTAACTCAATCTTTGTTTTGCGACTCACAAACCAAAGAATAACAGCTGGCTTCGTTTTACTGTCTTTCTGGGGAGCGTGTGGCATGCTGCGATATGATGGCTCTGAATACGTACATTCTTCGTTTGAAGGAATTTTATCACTGGCTGTTCAAGCGTTTGCAGCTCCTCTGCCGGGGCATCGTCACCGTCTTTACCTCCGCCAGCCGTTACTCTGGCGGAGGTTCAGTGTTGCATCTCCGGTCCACTTATGACTAAGTCATCCATTTTTGTGTTTTGTTCCAAGTTGTCTGTTTTCTTGTCCTTCTCCTTTATCAAGTTTTTTAGTTGTTTTATATCATCCAATAGGTCATGTAGCATATTAGTTGTTTAGCCACTTTGCTCAGTTCATCAGACATGAAATTAAGTGATTTCCTAATCTCCTCCAACTCCTCTTCAACTCCTGGGTTTGCTTTTTCAGGCGGCATTTTGAAAACGGTGAGATTGTGATGGCCCGTTCAGGCTTCCTCACTGTGCTATAATCATGTTGTTGATAGTATTGGACTGTAAAGGTAATCATTTATGGACCAGTAATAAGCAGCAGTGTCTATACTGAAGTGTTTTTGTGGACCACAGTTATTCAGTGACCAATGAGGTGGCTGGTTTTACTCCTATGAGAATTTAAAAAGTAAAGACACAAATGTGAGGAGATGTTGTGCTGCTCAGAATCAGGATGAAGGTTTGGTCTCCAAGCTGTTAATAGTCAGTCATTGGTTCCATCAGCTGTTCATTAAACAAATGGAGACAACACATCAGATTTAAAGTGCTGCAGAGACTCCTGCTGCCTGCAGGGGGCGCCTGTGTCTGCACTGCATCTGTTTCAGAGCTTCGATTTAACCTGAGCCGAGACTTCAGAAGCAGCTGATGTCATCAGGGAGGGGAGGAGGGGTTGGTGGCGGTCTGAAACGTTGGCGCGCTCTGCTCCATCGCAGGCATGAAGACAGACTGCAGCTCACAGATGACATAATTACACTGCTGCATGCTTTTATTCTGAAACTCTTCCACATACTTTACTTTGTTTATGACACTTCAAACATGTTTTGTCTACGGAGCGTCTTTACTGTCAAAGTGTGAGTTAGGGGCCGGAGGAGCCAACGGTAACATGAGGCACTATAGTTCAGAGGTCAGAGGTCAGGAGGACCGCTCCAGCCGCTTTCAGCTCCGAGCTTCTGGAATAACCAATCTGTGGCGTTGTTTTTGTGCCACTATTCTGAGCGCACGACAAATGTGCAGGTGGAAGTGTTGCATTTTGAGGAGAAATTTATTTTGAGCGAAGAAAAGCTGAATTTGACTGGACAAAATCCATTGCTGCGCGCAAAACATGTGTTTCAGTGTTTGCTATTATCCACACACACACACTGCTCGTGCCTATGGTACGACACATTGTTTTTGTGCCCCTGGTACACCGCTCAGAAACACTTTGCCACACACACAAACAAACGCACGCACTTCTCGTGCCTATGGTACGACAACTTTTCTCCGTGCCCCTGGTACACTGTGCAGGAGCACTTTGCCCCCCCCCCCCCCACACACACACACTGTGTGTGTGTGTGTGTGTTTGTGTGTGTATAATATTTTTGTTCACTCAAATTGAGCTTTTCTTCGCTCAAAATGCAACACTTGCACATTTGTTTTACGTGCGCTCAGAATAGTGGCACAAACATTAAACATTCAAGTTTAAAATGAAAGTAAAAACCAGTTTGTGGTGAGACTACAGAAAACACAGCGACTGCATTCCTGTGATTCCAAGAAGCAGGAAGAGCTCATCCTGCGGGTCATGCATCACGCTACTCATTCATGCAGGCAATGCACGATGTCATGTTGGCCGTGACCATCTTTGCGGACCCTTCCAGGGGTCTTAGATGCAGATGTTTGATGATGTAATTACTTGACTTTGACTTGCTGTTAATACACAGAACAATAGAGGAATGGTTTTAATGTTAAACATAAAATCCTTTTTTTCTTTAGCGTCACTGGTTGGTGGGGTTGGGTCACTGTGGGCCCTCAGTTCAGCTCCCCTCCCTGCACGGCCACAGGTTCCACTGTGGCCCCGCTCAACATCGTGACCTGTTCCTCTGGCACTAAATACTCATCTTTTTATGTGGCCACAGCCTCCAGTGTGTTTATCGGTCACATACGGGTCGCCTGGCTCGTGTTACAGCAGGTATCAACATGTGTGGGGAAAATACATGTTGCTAAGCAACGTGGTATGGTGTGATTGCGTTTTACACTCATTTCTGTGGCGTCCTCAGCGGCTCACAGTTATACATCAGGGGTGGGCAACTCCAAGCCTCGAGGGCCGGCGTCCTGCAGGTTTTAGATGTGATCCACCACAGCTGATTTAAATGTCTGACCTCCTCAACATGTCTGAAGTTGTCCAGAAGCCTGGTAACGAACTAATCACGTGATTCAGGTGTGCTGACCCAGATCTAAAACCTGCAGGACGCCGGCCCTTCAGGACGCCGGCCCTTCAGGACGCCGGCCCTTCAGGACGCCGGCCCTTCAGGACGCCGGCCCTTCAGGCCTGGAGTTGCCACCCCTGGTCTACACGGTCATGTGATCCCTTTGTTTTTGCCCCACAGCCTGAGCCTCACTGCTCGATGAATACACCTGCTGTAGGGAGTGATGAGGTCAAAACGAAGCCTCGGCGCGTCTAGTGTCGAACATTTCAGTAACAGCGTGTGTGAACATGACGCAGATATAAACCATTACTAACTAGATTTAAAAAACCAAGGTGGAAGATGGCCATTGTTTATATACAGTCTGTCATCCTGTTACTTGGGCCTTTATTTTAATATTATTACTGTTTTTGGTAAATATAATAATAACATCATTTTATTTACTATATTGATTACATATAATGATGTTATAATTATATACAGTTGATGAGTCAGACATGTGCGTACAAACACTTTCAGCATTAACACATATTCATGCAGCACGGCGTGACTACAGACTGCTGGAAGGCTGCTCATGTTTGTGTACTTCTATTGTTGTGAACTCAGTCGTTACAGTGAACCTGCTCCACTGGTGGATCTTCATAAATGTAAGGGCCAATCAGACGTGGAGGAGCTGCTGGTTTCAGACAGAGGATGCTGTGGCGAGCAGGTATCAGCTATCAATCAGCTGCTCTGTCCACGCAGACGTTACAGAGAAATGTAACGTCCACAGCTGGACGGCCAGGATTGAGCATGTTTACGTTTTTCTGGTCGAAGCTCGCTCTCCGACTAAAAGCAGTTTTTGATCCGCGTCCTCGTCATCGCGTCAGATAAAGACTGTAACTTAAAGAAGTAAAGCGGAGCCTCGTAGCAGCGACGTGTGAAAAATACAAATGTGCCGTAGCTTCAACAAGAACGAAGCCCATCAGGTTTCAGCCTGCGAGGTAAACGACGGTGACCCGCCCGCAGCAGGTCGGAGCCGGCACAAGGAGAAGCTAAAAGCTTTTGTTTCAGAGTCCTACCTGCTGGGCGCATGGCTCCTCCAGCAGCACGCCGAGGCTGCGAGAGTTTTTCTGGTAGTAGGCGATGAGCTCTCCCAGTGTGGCGAAAGAGATCTTATCCGAGATGAGGTACGCTCCGATGGAGGAGCGCTGGACCCGGAAGTGGAACACTTTCCCCTCGCTCCGAGCTGTAACACAGAGGGAGGAGCTTAATGTGGTTATATCATCAGGTTTTTACTTATACTCCGAGACCAATGGGACATAGAAGAGATCCTGGGTGCTTTAACTGCACTCATGATGGGAGTAAATTTACTGTGAGGCAAAGCCGAGTTTCTGGCATTTAGAGGCAGCGCTGTTGGTCCGAATAATAAAACCTGCAAACACGGGGCCTGACTAAAGAGGCCTACTGGACTTATTCTTTTATACATTTGATCCTGTATGAACGACGGCTGAAGAGCCTCTTCAAGCTTCAGACGGTCGCCTCATCCACAGGTAACAGCAGGCTATGACATGTAAAGTCAGCTGCCGTCAGGTGCAAGTACTGCTTATCATGGTAACGTGATGAGCGCCATGTTTGATTGGTGGAAGGAAACAGACATTAACGAGGCTCTGACGATGGCCATCTGAGCACGTGCAGCAGAGTAACCTGAAGGGGAAAGGTTGAGCACAGTCGGTGATCTCTGCAGATATTTTTGCATCAGCCGTGAGGCCAAACATGCAGCTTTCAGGGCTCACCAGGACTCGCTCAGGGGGGACGTCGGCACACGAGCTCGACCACAGCATCAGACTCCAGGAAGACACACAGTTACCTTCATTCATGCTCGCCAGTTAAGCGGTCTGCTTCCTCCAGTGTAGTATATATATGGAGTCATAATTAAACATGAAAAAACAGGTTAATGATACAGGATCGTTTTTAATACTCAAACCCTCCTGATTTTCCCTGTTATGAAACTGTGGACATGCTCTGCAGCACTGGCTGCACATGCACACATATGCAGCAGTGTTACATGTACTGACATCCAGGAAGACGAACACGTTTTTATATGTGTGACTGAGCTTCGCTGTGCTGCACTCTGCTGTGTGCAGAGCCCTGATGATGCATATTTCAGCAGGACTAGCACAGTGAAAACTGAGCATCTAACTGCAGCATCGTCCCCCTGGGACCGAAAGGACCTTGAAGGGGGGCGGGGGGAAAGGTAGAGGATGGAGAGGAAAGAGCCAAGCTGGAGGACACAGTAACAATAACTTCAAGGCCACAAATCCCAGAAATCCTCCAGCACCTAATCCTGATTAGAGAGCTGCTGTGGCTCTGAGAGCGCAGCGAGCTCATGCACATCACAGAAACAACCAATGAGCTGCTAAAGCTGAACCACTCTGTTTACTCACAGCTTCCTATTTTACCTCTGGACTCTAACAGAAGAGCTGTGCATCAGTCACAGTCCAAAATAATCCTTCTGTACATGAACAACTGTCTCACCACTCTATAAGCAGGCTGTGAAGTAGTGGTGTTCCAGTTAAAGGGGTAACCCTTTCCTGGCGCTCCTCAGCGCTTCCAGAGTGTTTTCCACAGACCGGACGTTAGCGTTCCGGGTTTGCTGACACACCTGTGACATTAAACCCACAGAGCGGAGCAGGAACAGCATCTCTGAGCTCCGGCACAAGAATCAGCGGTTACTGTGCAGTCATACACCAGTCTCTGTCCACCAAACTGGTTCTGCTGATCTGTGAGTTTGTGTGTGTCATCTTTAATATTAGTTGGGCTTCACAGATCTGTACCTGCTGTCAGCTGCACAGAAATGTATGCAGTGTTTTCTAATAGATGTATAACCTAAAGGAAGTGTGGATGATGGGAAGAGGACGGCTGCAGTCTGCGCCGCAGGGTTCACAGCGGTTACCAAACATACACTGAGCTCTGAAACTGCTCGTGCTCAGTACGAACATGTGACTTATAAGACAGGAAGTAAGAGAAGGAGAACGGGCCCACGTTGTTTTTTCATGTTCTTTCTTCAGAGTTTTAGGAGCCGACACATCAGCTTAGTGTTCCAGCTGGAAAGGTGAGAGTCTACCTGGCTCCTCGTGTCCAATCAGAATAAAGCAGACACAATCTAATTTATTTCATACAAGTAAAAACTCTGACTTTAACATTAATCGTTTTATGTTTACTTTAAGCCACTGTGGGTCATGGCCTCTGACAGCTGAGCTGGGGGCAGAGTCTAAAGTGACATCATCCACCTTTCATTAAGGTGGCTGAAAAACAAACAAAGGAACAGCAGACACACAAAGAGTCCCTTTGCTGTCAGACCGGTCCGGCGAGTGGACCTCTGCACACCCAAAACATCCACACAGCACACAGCAGACGTGTGACACTGTCAGACTCACACAGTGAATACAGCAGACATGTTTACCTGCTTCTAGAAATTCCACTTCTGCCTTATGGAAAAGACGGCGTCACACAGCTTAACAATAAAAATCAGTCGAGCAGAGCGTGGACGAGCACCGAGTAACAAATACGATAATACGTCTGTTTCATTTGTCTGAAAGGACGATGACATGCTGCTGATTTATAGGAATATCTGACAGAGAATGTTAACAGCAGTCATGTGCTTGTGTTACAGCAGAGCGCTTGTTTTGTGACCCGTCCTAGTTCTGCTATAACCTGATGTGTCTGCATGTCACATTTTTGGCATATTAATGATTTTTAACATGTGACTGCTCACGCCTGTACTAAAAGCTGTGTTGTTGACCTAACTCCATGGCTAACCTTCATGTGTGAGGAAGACACCTGGAATCTATCAGACAGACACAGTGCACACCTGTGCCGAGCACAGTCCCAGACCGGCCCCTGATTAGTGCCAGACCAGCCCCAGATTAGTCCCAGACCAGTCCCAGACCGGTCCCTGATTAGTGCCAGACCAGTCCCAGACCAGCCCCAGATTAGTCCCAGACCAGTCCCAGACCGGTCCCAGATTAGTCCCTGATTAGTCCCAGACCGGCCCCTGATTAGTGCCAGACCAGCCCCAGATCAGTCCCAGACCAGTCCCAGACCGGTCCCTGATTAGTGCCAGACCAGTCCCAGACCGGTCCCAGATTAGTCCCTGATTAGTCCCAGACCGGCCCCTGATTAGTCCCAGACCAGTCCCTGATTAGTCCCAGACCAGTCCCAGACCGGTCCCAGATTAGTCCCTGATTAGTCCCAGACCAGCTCCCAGACCGGTCCCAGATTAGTCCCAGACCGGTCCTTCCTGATTTAGGTCCCCAGATTAGTCCCAGACCGGACCCAGATTAGTCAGATTAGTCCCAGACCCGCCCCAGATTAGTCCCAGACCGGTCCCTGATTAGTCCCAGACCGGTCCCTGACTGGCATTCAGAGCCGACCCGGTCCTCATATCGGCTCTGTTACCAAACTACTGGGATTTAAATGCCCCTGAACACACCTGACCTCTGCCTACTGGTCTTAACCAGGCCACCGTGTGTGGAACTCTCATCAGTCTCCATTCAGACACAAAACAATCAGCTGCAAGTAAAAAACATCTGCCTTCATCGTACTGCAATAAAAGCTGCTCGAGGAATGACCTCATACTGAGGAACCAACCAATCACGGCTGGCTGCAGACCTTCACTGACAGCAGTGCTGAGGAGGGCAGGAGGAGGTGATGGATGGGGAACACGACAGGAGCGGAGGAGGAGACATGCAGCAGCTTCCACCTGGTCTGATGGCTAAAACAGCTCAACACTGAAACTTACAGATAGCTTGCTTATTACAGTTATAAATGAGTGTGAGGCAGGTCTGCACTGATAAATGTGAATAAATGAAACGTTATTAAAGTCCTGCAGCAGCTGCTTAAGTCGGCTCTGTTCCAACCAGTCTTTTACATTTTTAATCCTCGAGTGTTAGAAAGTACTTTAAACGGAGACCTTCGCCGACTCTCTGCTGGCCTCTGACGGACGCGTTTCTGAGGGAAGAAGCTTGGTTGGGTCACTTTACGGTGAGATGGTTCAGTTTGGTTTGGTCTGTGTTTTCAACAATAACGTGGCTCTTTTACTGGGAGGATCTGACTGAGACTGGGAGATGATTGGTTGTTGTTTTCCTGTCCGCAGCCCGGCTGATGACCCCGGCTGTGGCGTCCTCAGGCCAGAATCATGTCGACGCCCACGAGTTTCCTTTAAAGGCAGGCTGCTGTGTACTCGTGGCGTCTTCTCCTCCAACTGTAACTTTTTATACATCAGGCAGTTTGTCTGTAAGAGGTCAGAGGTCACCACGAAGTGCTCACTCACCAGAGATAGTGTACTCGTCACTGTGACTCTCACTGATGCGAACCAGGAAGGCGCCATCTTTGTTTTGGGAGGCGAGCAGCAGCTTCTCCGCTTTCCCACGGTTTATGTTCCCGTAGTACCACCTGCACAGAGACGGAGTGGGCGGGATGATGGGAGGGAGGGAGTGGATGGAGAGAGAGAAGGAAAGGAAGAGACAGACATGAAGAATGCGTCACACGTGAAGCCATACAAGAACAAAAGCACACGTGACGCCCGGTCAGTCTGACAGACTGAGCCGTGCGGTCCCGCCCGTTTGCCCAGACAAACCTGCCTGTATTTACTTTAAGTTATCAGAGAGGGCGGGTCCGAGCGGCACGATGCTCGGGTTTCACTGAAACCAGCTCAAACTCGAGCAGCAACAGGTTTGTAAACCAGAGTTTAATGATGCTGTGGGGGAAACACATCAGAGCTCATTACTGACTCACCCATCATTCGTTTCTGCTAGAAATGACAAAAAAGTAGGAACACCAAACATTTCCTGGTTTCAGGTTTACATGGTTCATGTGCACGTTTTGTAAAAAGATTCACCTGCACCTTTTTCCAAACAGCTGAAAAATAAAACCTGCAGTTCCTGTGCCGTCCAGCAGAGGCAGCAGTGAGTCCAGCAGAGATAAGCATGTTTACAGCCTGATACACACTGATTGGTCCTCCCACGTGACACCTGTACGGAGGAGCACGTTTTTAAAAGTCGCCTACGTTTAAATTATATTAAGTCTGCATTGTTAGGGGGCGTGGCCTCTGACAGGTGGATAGAGACACAGGTGGCTGTAGCTGCTAGGTTGAGCTGGACGTGTTTGTGCTGTTGGAGCCTTTTTTGATGACATCATGTGACCAATAACATGGCTGCTGTGAGGTCACTGTACAAATAAGGCTCCAGTTTCGGATTTTATTTGGATGTTCCGGAGCGCCGACGAGCAGGTTTCTGTCCATGCTAACTGAGCTACATAGCATTAGCTGGTAATTTCATGCTCCGCCCTCTCATCCAAAGGAGGATTGATTTAGATTACATAACAATGCCAGATTCTTATCATATGTTAGGTCAGATATTCTCAGGTGAATTTTAGTGGGTGTTAAAAGTCAAACTGCCTTCCTGTTCACGTTCACAGGCTCAAAGTAACTGATAAGTGTTTCTAAGGAGGCGTGGCCTGCTTCCACGTCATTTCCCAGCAAGTTAAGGAGATAAAGGAATTTGCATTTGATAGCTGTGCTTGGAAATCTTGATATGACGCTCAAAGTAGAAAAGAAGGTCATGAAAGGCTGGAAAAAGGAAGCTGACTGAAAACACAAAAGCATCTGAAAATGCACAGTTAACACTCGGGCACAGACAGGTGGGCAGACTAGACAGGAAAGGGGTGAAACTGGGTGAACGGAGCAGGAAAGGAAGCGATCCAAAGCTCTGAATCATGATGGTTATGAAAATGGATTTGACTTTGATGCAGCTGAACATGATTCCAGCTCAGATCACAAAGCTGAAGTTCTGCACAGGCACTTTCCATTCTCATAAAAGCAAAATAAGTCAGATACTGAAACACTCAGCTGCACCGTGTCCAAAGAAAGATCCCCAGCCTAACTGAGCATGCTCAAACTCCCTAAAGACAAAACTGAGGGCATAAAGACCCACAAAACCCGCAGCACCTGAAAGCAGCTGCACTGCAGAGCTGAGAAAGCCTCAGAAGAGAAACCCACGCCTGCCTGTGTGCGGGTTACTCATCCTTACGTCCAATCAGGTTTGAGCGTGTGAAACTGGACGAATGAGGGAATATAAAGGCTGAAATGAATAAATGAAATGTTTGTTAATGCTTCATTAAAGCTGGAAATCTGAACCGCACGTCTGGATTGCTTCATTTAGCTTTGATGGGCTTCCCTTCCTGCAGAGGACACTTTAGTCTTTTGGTATATTCGTCTGAAAACGTGGCTTCATTTTCCCTCTGATGATTCTGAGATCGTGATGAACATTCCTGGGGTTGTTAAAGGGTCCAGATGTGCGAGCTGGGCTGTGATGCTCTGCAGACTTTGGATGAGTCCAAACTTCAGCAGCCCGACTCGTCCTCTTGTTCTGCTGTCAGACAAACGCAGTCACTGTTGGGTCGGCAGCCAGATACCTTCAGACATTCACACCTGACTTTGTCTGAACGCCGGGACCGTGCTTTTCATTCCTCTGCACACAAAGTCTCGAAACTTTTTAGCTTTCAGGGATGTAATCGGGAGAAATGGGGTCGAAAACGGCAGGAACGTTTGGACGGTCAGCTGACGTCTGACTACAGAGCACCCACGGGCACGCAGCAGGATGAGGGTTAAGCTGCTCTCAGTAAGAGTTCATGTTGTGTCTCTGATGGGCGGAGACAAATGCCATCACATGACAGGAAGAACACGCTGGAAACTTCTTTCTTCTGCTGACTGCTCACTGTGCTGAAGCCCCACCCACAGCTCCACGCCACACTTACGTCACTTTGACGTGTGAAAGCAGTCACATGACACAGTTCTACCAATAACAGATCCACTCTGTTATTCTTTAAAAAGCACCCATTTGCACTTGACCTTTGACCCTTTGGATATGAAATGGCATCACTCTGTCCTGTTTAGGGTTTGTGTCTTTGGCTACTCAGCACCTCTGCAGCATTTCTGACAGCAGGGAAAAACAGAAAAATACACGGCTGTAGTTTCCCGTGTCCGGCCCTCAGCGCCTGAAAGGAAAACGAAACAGGTCCCGGAGAGTGACAGGAGGCACTGGGAGACGGCCCACGGTGCGTCATCAGCGTCAGGTGGAAAGGTGTGGGCTAATTTTAGGTGGATCTTATTATGTGACTAATATTTTCACAGTCACCTGTCACTGTGGCCCCGCCCTAACTTTACCTCAGACTCAGAACCTGAACCAAACCAGAAAAACCTCAAACTCTCAGATCTGTCCAACAAATTTACAAAGAGTTTCTTGTTTAGTATCAATTTTAGTCTTTAAGAGCCTGAAATGTCATTTTCTGTAAGCTGCAGGGACGCTGAGGCTGTCGCAGTTTTGGAGGAAGCCCAAAACAAGCCTCATGGTGTCCCATCAGAGCTGGGACCAGAGCTGGGACCAGAGCTGGGACCAGAGCTGGGATCAGCATCAGGAGTTTCGGTCTCACTGTCAGCTTTTATCTTGAAGAGTCTGTTTCTCTCTGCAGCACACAGACTGACTCCAGATTAAATATCTGCTGCTGCACATCAACAAACATGCAGCCAAAGCTCTGAGTGAAAGTCATCTGAAAACTCAAAGTTTCATTCATTTAAACGACCGTCAACGTGCTCAAGTTCACACTGACGTCCTAACTCCATTCAGCAGTCGACGCCATCACTGCGAGCTGCGGGGTCGCCCCCGTGTGTGTGTGTGTGTGTGTGTGTGTGTCACTCACTTGTGTTTGGCGAACTCGTCCTGCAGCAGAGCCACGTAGTTGGCGGGGACGAGGCCGGACTCCAGGCTCCCAGTGAGCTTCTTGGCCAGCACGTAGTCTCCGCGCTTCTCGATCACCGACAGCTTGTCGCCCTCCTTAACCGTCAGCTCGTCGTCGCTGCGGGCCTCGAAGTCGAAGAGCGCCGCGTACAGCTGCGCGGGCCGCTTCTTGGGCGCGGGGACGCGGATGTCCCCGGACACGGTGCGGATCTCGGCCGCGTGCGCCGCCGGGTTGGCGATGACGTGGTCGCGGGGCCCGGGGTACCGGAGGCCGGGCCATATCCGGTCCCAGAGGCACGAGCAGCACGGCAAACACGCGCGGCAGCAGCTCTCCATCCCGGCACGCGCAGGTCTGTCCCCGCCGCGGCCCGTCGCTCTCACCGAAATGCGTCCTCCAGCACGCACGCGCCTGCCGCTCGCGCCTGCCCCTCTCCGGAAACATCCCGCCCCGCCGGCGGGCGGACCGGAGGAACCGGTTTGTTCGGCTCCGAGCGGCGGGACGCGCTCGGCGGCTGCGGGAGTGCGCAAACGGAAACCGAGGCTATGCGGGTCGAGCACCGGAGCACAGCGCGGAGGATCGGGTTCGGAGCTCTGCGCACCTCCTGCTGCTCACACACCTGCAAACCGAGGGGGAGGAGCCCCGCAGGTGTGTGCGTGAGAGAGAGAGCGAGAGAGGAGGGAGGTGTGTGTGTGCTGGGTCTCCATCCTGTCCCGGGACACCCGGGATGACCACGTGTCCCACCTGCTTTGGAAGTTTTAGCTTTTGTGACGTCACAGGAACAGAAGCAGATGCATCTGAAACTCACCTGACAGCCGCAACACGTTCCGGTGTTCAGGTGTCAGTCCGCCGTTACAAACACACCCACAGGGTGACTCATGAACCTAAGCTGCAGCACACTGGTGTCCAATATGAGGATCGCAGTCCCCCAAAGGGCCACCACACAGACGTCAGAAACATTTGAGCATTTAAAGAATAAATATTTAATGAAATGATGTGAGTGTGGCCTAATTCTAACAACTCCATTTTATTGATATTCCTGCAGTTCCTCTGACGCCCAGCAGAGGCAGCAGTGAGCCTGTTGAAACCTTCCAGTACAAATAAACATGGAAGTGCAGCTGAAGTATGTAAAATCAAACACATGTATTCATACAACGAATTATTGAGGAACACAGGCAGTAAAAACTCAATGTTTAATGACATCATGTGACCGATAACATGGCCAACACTGTACTAACAGACCGAGAAGGCGGAGCTCCAGGATTCCAGGATTGTGATTGGATGTTATTCTGTGTATGTGTGATGCTTCCACACAGTCTGTGCTAGCCAAGCATCTTTTATATACAGTCTGTGTTATGATGTGTAATGTGCTATGAAGTCATGTGATCAAATTACGACGACTTCCCAAACCAAACAGGAAGTGACTTTAATCCGAACGCTCGCTGCTGCAGATTATTCAGCCCGGACACGGTGCTGCATCCGACTGAGCGGATTTCTGTCAGAGGCCCCAGACGAACCTGCAAACGGCTCTGGATGCGATCCGCAGCCACCGACGTAAATGCGGTGCAGTGAGGGGTCAGCATTCGTGATGGGAGGAAATAAGGGCGCGTGAAAGCTGACGTCTGATAGATAGCACACAGTTTTTATTAGTATATTTAGCTTTGTGATGTACAGCTCGGGAGGAAACAAACCAAAAACAAACTGAACGGTCACAAAGTCCAGAAACATTTCAGCCTTAGCAGTGACATCACACAAAGAAAGCTCAGTCTGTATAATCATTGGTTTCTTCGTCATGGACCAGAGTGATATGTAGTCATCAACAGAAAGAATAAGAACCCAGATTTCTTCTTTTTTTTCCTCCGTCCTTTAAGTTGCTTCACATATATTATCAACACTTTTCTAAAGAATCAAAATATTCAGCCACAGGTACTGCAAAAGGTATCCACTGTTATATAGAAGAATAATAAACACAATAAATATAAAAAGAATTGATTTGATATAATTTATATGGTATCAAAGAGAGGGAAATGGGCCTTCAGCTGCTTTTATAAAAGTCATGTCCTTTTTTCTGTTCCTGAGGTTGAGTTTCGCCGTCCGCAGTTTAAGTTTTGCTAAATACACTCACAGACTAAAGACCCGACGCCCGGGACCCGAAATGGCTTTTCATTCACTGAGGAATCGTGTCCCACGGATCGCGGAGGGTCGCCGTGGCCCCGCTGGAATCCTGTGTGCCGTGGAGTCAGCCGAGAGGTCGGGGGTCAACCGCAGCCCACCCCTCCAGAGCCGAACAATCGCACATCTCCCCCCTCCCACACCCAGAAGGCCGCCCGGGAACGCCTTGACTTTCTTCACCGAGCACGTTAGCGTGGCAGATTTAACTCAGCGCTAATGATGCTAACAGGAAGTACCCGATCCCCCAGACCCTACGGAGGACTGAAACTGCCAAAGTGACTGAACAGCTCCAACACTTTAACAGAAAATTAAATGCATCAACCCAAACATTTCTGTCCATATTCACCTTTGTACAGCTTTACCCCGTCTGGCTTTGACCCGGCTTCAGTGACTGTGGCATCTGGACCACATCTGGGCCAGGCTCACCACCTCTCCTGCAGGAAATCGCCGTCTTCTAAAAACTAGACCAAACTGTGCACTACTAAAAATAATGAAAATAAAAATATATAAATAATGTTCTCATTTGTCATAATCCCATAAAACTAACACTGATGAACTGAAAATAGGCTTTAAATTAAAACTAACAGCCTGCAAAACATTTACCTGAGCTGTAAATGAGCCTTAGGTCAGGTCCAAACATGGCTGCTGTGCCAATTACATTCATTTATTCATGCATTCATTTTGCACTTTATTTCCTTATTTACAACATGAAACAGGAAATAAAGAGGAGAATTACAGTTCAGATTAATTTCTTAGTTGATGCATTTAAAGGTGCTAAGGCCATTAGTACTTTTGGCACTCTCAGGCCTCCACAGTGGGAAAGGGCAGAGTGTGAAAGGTGGATAATCATATTTAGTCTCAGTCCCATTTCCCTGTGTGAGGAAGGAGTGAGAGGAACTCAGGAGTGGAAAAGAGAGGCATGAAGATGAAAACAGAAAGAACCAGAAAAGAAAAATAGCAAAAATCTGTACATGTAAACATCACACTTCCACTGAGTCGAACCATGAGGAGAGTTACAGGTTTCACATTGGTATTACTGAAGGTACGAAGGCCCGGCAGAGGACGTCGAGACAGTCACGAGTCCGGCACAAAGAAGTCAGCCAAAGACGGGAAGGAAAGAGAAAAGCACTAACTGAAAACCAGGAAACCGAGCGGCCCGGACGCCGTCTTTATATTCTGACAGAAGCCGTACAGATAGAAAAATAAAAACGCTCCATAACGCCGTCTGCCTTCTTTCTTTTTTTCTTAAAGACGTGTTTTGAGCTTAGATTCTGATTCGATGGGACCTGACTGGCATCGCGACTACAGACGCCGTCCTCCACAGCACTTTGATGTCCATGTCTGCATCTGTTAGAAACCTGCCGCCATGACAGCCAGATTTAATGAGTGAAGCGCGCGTTTCCACGCTTCATCAAACTCGAGTCTTTGAGCCAAAAGGAAACAAACTGAGAGGAACCAGCTGGAGTCGTGGTTCCTGCTTCTACACAGACTGCTGACCTGAGGGTGAGGAACGACCGGGAGCACGATCCCATCGTGAGGTCACGCCCCTTTAAATTCGTCCCTGAGGACCGATCGTCTGAGGCAGACGGTTCAGAGGAAACCGCTCAGACTGTGGGTCGAGCTCTCCTCCTCCTCGCCACGTCTTCCTCCGTGCTAAGAGCGGTTGGCACCTCCTTTGAGTGATCTAAAGGTGACAGCAGCAGGAATGACCCTGACCCTGAACCTTAAGATGACCCCTCAACATCCTTCAGAGGGGCTGACAGGAGGCTTCTGTTACCTGTGGACACAGGTGGGCTCTCCATGCTGACTCACCGTCATCACAGCAGGCTGTGACTGATGGTTTTTCCTTTTAAGGAGTTAAAACAGGTGGACATGAAGACAGAAGGCGCTAAATGTGACGTAAACTGATCGACTCCACCTCCAGAGTCTCTGAGGCCCGAGAGGTCGACGAGACGCCGTGATCTTTGTGACACACTGACCACCTCTGTCTCAACACGACCTTTAAAAACAGAGCAGCTGTGGAGGACAGCTAAGATGAGATCAGCATCCGCGGCGGCGCCGGCCGGGGCCCGTCTGCTGACGTGCACGTTTGGAATGTGTGGTAGAAACTGCTGGAATATAAAAAGACCACTTTAATCACACTACAAAATATAGAAATCAGAAGAATCACGTCATACTAAAAAATAGAAACTGGATAGAAACGCATCTGCTATGTACTCGACCGTGGAGACGTTAACAACGAGCGGAGAAGGAGGCGGCGGCGGCGGTGTATGGCTAAAACACTGGGATCATTCTCCCGATCTGTCCGGCTGTGCCGACAGCAGGAATGGAAACCAAACAGAGAGCAAATTCCACCTTTCTGCAGATTGTCATTTGCTTTTTGTTGTGTGTGATTCAGAAACATCCTCTCTGAGAAACAGGAAGTGATGCGATGATTTCATCAGACCATCTCAAAGGTTTTATGAACTTATTCCTTAAGAAATCCAACAAAAGACGAATAATAACAAGGTCGCCAGAGGTCGTTTCAAAGGAGCAGAAGGTATCGAGGAGGATGAACAGAACGGCTTCGAACATTCAACCCTGGCGTGAGCAGGAAGTTAAAGGAAGTCGGGAACATAAAGCAGAAGTGCATCGAACTGTTCCTGCGTTTCCTCTGAACTTTATGGAGTCCTCAGAGTCCGTACAGGCGATTCTGAAGGCGATCACAGAGAAAGACTGCTTCAAAGGACGCGTTTGGAGACTTCAGGACATCCTCCCCGACAGCAGGAAACCAATCGCACGCTGCCATTCAAAGTAAACAAACAGCTGTTTGTCTAACGGGAGGATCTCGTTTATTTCTCACAAACATTTGGGAGCTTCGAGGCTTTTGGAACGGCAGCAGTGCAGGTGAAACCCCGCCGCGGTCCGAGGGATCGCCACACCTCCAGGTCCCGGGTCTGCTGACGCTGCCGCGACAGCAGAGAGCGGTTCAGCCCATCACAGCACACCTGGACCGGTCCAGGTGACCCAGAGGTGCTGGGTCGCTCTGACTCCGAAAGCCAGGAAGCAGAGGCAGCATCTGAGAGCACAGTGAGGATCAGATGGAGGAAGAGCAGGACGGGACGCCGGGGCCCAAACTCTGTTTACGAGGACGGATAAAGTTTGATTGGACATCGGTGTTGATCGTCCTTTTGAAATGCTTTGAGGTGAAAGGTGGGTCAAAGGTCGTGCCCTCCTGCTCTTCTTCTCGTCTTTTTTTTTTTTTGCATATTTTTCTCCAGTTTTCCTCTCGCTGATCTTTAATCACAGCTTTCCAAAAACAAAACCTCAAATTCAGTCACTTCCGTGTGAAACTTTTCCCAAAGCTCGGGCGCTTCTGTCGCTGCACATGAGCGTGAAGGTGTGGATGTTTGGGTGGAGGCTGTGAGGTCTGAGCTGCCATCACAAACCTTCCAGTGAACGTGGTGATTATCAGTCGCATGACAGAAAACTGTCATGCCACGCCCCCCCCCTTTGCTTCACAGCAGACCGGGGCGTGGGGGGTTGGGGGCGGTCCCTCTGAGGAAACATGCATACACTCACACAAAGGGGCTCCGCCCCTTCACATCACAGATGACTGTTGCTTTCCTCGCTGTGCAAAAAGGGAGCAAATTACAGTGAAATGACCGTCGAGCTGAGTAGAAACCATAATAGAAGCAGAGCATCATCCAGGAAACCAGGAGCTTAACGAGCCCAAGTCCCTAACGAGCGCCTGAGGCCTCAACGAGGGCCCAAACTCCTAATGAGCCCGAGGCCTAACGAGCCCATGGCCCAACGAGCCCGAGGCCTTCGAGCCCGAGGCCCCAACGAGGGCCCAAACTCCTAATGCCCGAGGCCCCAACGAGCGCCGAGCCCAACGAGGGCCCAAACTCCTAATGAGCCCGAGGCCTTAACGAGCCCGAGGCCCCAACGAGGCCGAGCCTCAACGACCGCGCCCAATCCTAATGAAGCCCGAGGCCCGAGCCAGCCTCTAGAGGGCCAGACTCTTAGAGCCTGCAGTAGGACTAGCCGCACCACGAGCCATGGCCCTAATTACCCAGCCTACCCACCCCACGCCAATTAATGAGCCCGAGGCCCCACGAGCCCGAGGCCCCAACGAGCCCGTGGCCCCAACGAGCCCGAGGCCTTAACTAGCCCGTGGCCCCAACGAGCCCGAGGCCTTAACGAGCCCGTGGCCCTACAGACGGCCCACACCCCGACGCCCTAACGAGCCCGAGGCCTTAACGAGCCCGAGACCCCAACGAGCTGAGGTTCAAAATGCACTTTGAAGCTAAATTTCACATAATGAAAAATAATTATCTTTAAACAACGCTATCAAAAGACAAAAGTACTCAGCGGTGATGAGAACGAGAATTAAAGGAAGAGTTTGGGTTTGGGGAAATAACTTGCTTCCTTGCAGAGATCCTGATGGGACGTTTGATGTTCTGACAGCTAGCTTAGCTTAGCTCAAAGACTGCAGGCAGGGGTAAACAGCTAGCCTGGCTCTGTTTAAAGGTCAGAAAATCTGCTTATTCCTTTACAGAGCACCAGCTAACATGTTATGTTTTCTCTCTCTTTTTTTAGTATGGCTTCTTTTTACAGGGCATAACATGCTAATGAGTAAGCTAGCCACTTCCCCCAGCTTCTAGTGTTTAAAGCTAAGCTAGCTTAGGGCTACTGTCTTGTATCCTATATGGTCCAGAAGCTACTGCTGACCCATAAGCATGTTAACCTCTGCTCTAAAGTTTTAACATGGGAGTCTATGAGGCCGACCCACCACTGGAGCCTCCAGAGGACATCAGAGGAACTGCAGCTTCTAGAGCTCCAGGGTTGGAAGGTGCAGCTGAAATTTACAGACAGGTACAACAATGAGGTCAGATTTTCATCTAACTTGAAAGCAAATCCTATTTCCACAAACGTCAAACTCTTCAAGCAGCAGAGCGTAAGCAGGGACCAGAACATCAGGAGTGATTCCAACATGGCTCAGAACCTGAGGGAGGAGCTCCCGCTCCACTTATCTGCTGCCTCACTTTCCTCTCAGACTAATCACAAGTTACCCACTAGTAAACAAACAGATAGTATTAATCTACACGGGACTAGAAGTTTGTACAGCCCTCCCCGTGCCCTCCAAACTGAGGGGAGGGTCCGAAAAGAAGAAGATTCACAGTTAGAAAGTCACAAAACACGACAGGAATCGAGCCCTATGAAGCAAAACAAAGAAAGCAGCCGACCAAGCAGCCAGCGGGATAGAGAGGAGCGCCGGATCGGACCGTCGCTCTCTGAGCCGGTTGGTCGCGTTTTCACCGGGCACTGCGGCGAGCTACCGCCCGGCTGTGTTGAGGTTTCAGGTCTATGGCAGAAGGTCCGGTTTTTAAAATAGCAGCAGCAACATGAAAGTTCATCATTATAATCATAGTAATAACAACAATAATAGTAATGGCCATCTCAGAGTTTAACAGACACACACAGTAAGACGGAGCAGTCCTCCTCATCCTCAAGCCTGACGAAGAGGAGGAGGTTTAGGTCCACGAAGAAGAGCCGGAGAGTAGGTCCAAACAGAGAGAAGAAGAGGAGGAGGAGGAGGGACAGATGCTGAGGTTTCATAGAAGCTGGAGGTAAACCTGCGCACACGTGCACGACTCTCCTCAGAAAAGAAAGAAACGCTGACGACATCAGGAGGCGGAGAAACCCGGCTTCACCTGCAGGAGCTGAGCGTTTGATTGGCAGGTCTGATCTGAGGTATTTCCTGGCGGTCAAAATGGCGTCTCGGATGCATAAGTGAGCGCGCGGCTCCCGGGGCCAAGGGCAAGGACGGGGTGAGGTCAGAGGTGAGGAGAAAGTGCTGAAGGACACAGAGAGCTTATATACAGGCGAGCACGAACAGTCTGTTCTTTTTCTTCTTTCACTTTAAAAAAGTCCAACGGAAAAATCACGAAAGAGAAAACGTCCCAACAAAGAAACGGACAGCGTCCGAAAACAGACAGCCTCAGCGCGACGTCGTTTTTATAACCAGAAGAAGATCGACCCCACAGCTCCCCAGAGAGTCTTTGCTCCTCCTCCTCTGTGATTGTGAGGCGCCTCCGCAGAGGAGCCGAGCTTCCTGCGGCGTTCCGGGTTTTGTTCTCAGGCAGGATTCGGTGGATTCTCCGCCCTCGCTGCGGCCTCAGGTTCCCGTTTTCCTCCAAACGGTCGCCACAGTTTCAAAACCAGGCGAGGCCGGCGAGGGCGCAGGAAACGTGACGGGGTAGTGTGTGTGTGTGTGTGTGTGTGTGTGAGATCAGTTCTGCTGCAGGATGAGGTTTTCCAGCTCGTCTGCTGAGCGCAGCAGGAAGGCGGCTGACTCTCGGTATCCAGCGATCAGCTGACGCACGGCCGTGATCTCTGGCTGGCTGAGCTGGGTCGACGCCCCGCCCCCTCCTCCACCACCACTGCCCCGCCCACTGAGGCTGTTGGCGGCAACAGAAGAGGAGGAGTTGCTGACGTTGGTGGAGGAGTGAGACTTCATGCTGAGGTCAGTGGGGCCTGCAGAGGAACACGGTCGACATTATGATGTCATTACTTAGAAACGATGTGATATTACATAAAATATGTTCCTGACACGAGAAAACATCCACAGGAAGGACCCGAACATTTCAACTTTGGACCTTTGATGATGAAACCACACCCAACAATCTGTAAATAAAAGATGGACTGCTTGTGTCATCACTTACCGTTGGTCTGACCAGCAACAGCAGCAGCGGCAGCAGCAGCACCGGTTGTCAGGGAAACAGGGTGTTGCATGGTGGCGCTCAGGCCTGGGTATCCACGGTAACCGTAGCTGAGGCCAGCGCCGTTGATATAGAGCTGGGACTCCTGGGAGGAGAAGGCTGAGGCGGCCAATGAGTAGGCGGAGTGAGCGAGGGACGCCGGCTCCCTCAGAACGCCTCCGACCCCGGACGGCTTATCCAGAGTGATCTGCTCATCCTGAGGAAGGACAAGGAAGTCAGGAGCTTTTCAAAATAAAAACAGCACGATGGGGACAGGAAGCAGGAATGCTGATGCTGACAGGGGATTTTTCTCTCATGGAATTAAAGAAAAACTTCCAAAACTGGAAAGTTGATAAACGCAAACTGCACTCACAGCAGCTTCGAAACATATTCATGATCATGGGCACCGCCTGCCGTGGGCGTGTCCAGCTACAGCTCTGAATGTTGTATGGATAACCAACACATCACAGGTGTGATGGCAGCTAAACCCAGTGGAGTGGTAATAATTAGTGCTGTCAGCGCCATAATCGCATTAACGTGTGCGTGGGGCTGCACGGCGCTAACAAGTTAACCGTGCTAACCTGTAGACGCCGTGCAGCCTCTCGCACGGGGAATCTGCGCTAACAGAGATTAACGCTGACAGCGCTACTAATAATAATGCAAGAGCAAACACCAACAACTGGGTGAGCGGGGCTGTTAGTGTGTGTGTGTACGATAATAGCAAACACTGTAAGGAATTTTGTTCGCTCAAATTAAACTCAAATTTTCTCAGAATAGAGGCACAAAAATAACGCCATATCCTCGACACTGTCCTCCACACTGTCCTCGCCCCTGTCCTCCACCCTGTCCTCGCCCCTGTCCCTCCACACTGTCCTCGCCCCTGTCCTCCACCCTGTCCTCGCCCCTGTCCTCCACCCTGTCCTCGCCCCTGTCCTCCACACTGTCCTCGCCCCTGTCCTCCACACTGTCCTCGCCCCGTCCTTGACACTGTCCTCCACCCTGTCCTCGCCCCTGTCCTCCACCCTGTCCTCCCGCCCCTGTCCTCCACACTGTCCTCGCCCCGTCCTGTCCTTGACACTGTCCTCCACACTGTCCTCCACCCTGTCCTCCACCCTGTCCTCGCCCTGTCCTCCACCCTGTCCTCGCCCCTGTCCTCCACACTGTCCTCGCCCCTGTCCTCCACCCTGTCCTCGCCCCTGTCCTCCACCCTGTCCTCGCCCCTGTCCTCCACACTGTCCTCGCCCCGTCCTTGACACTGTCCTCCACACTGTCCTCCACCCTGTCCTTGACACTGTCCTCCACACTGTCCTCGCCCCGTCCTTGACACTGTCCTCCACACTGTCCTCGCCCCGTCCTTGACACTGTCCTCCACACTGTCCTCGCCCCTGTCCTCCACACTGTCCTCGCCCTGTCCTCCACATGTCTCGCCCCTGTACTCCACCCTGTCCTCCACACTGTCCTCCACACTGTCCTCGCACGCCTGTCCTGACACTGTCCTCCACACTGTCCTCGCCCCTGTCCTCCACCCTGTCCTCGCCCCTGTCCTCCACACTGTCCTCGCCCCTGTCCTCCACTGTCCCCCCCTTGACACTGTCCTCCACACTGTCCTCCACCCTGTCCTGACCTGTCCTCCACACTGTCCTCGCCCCTGTCCTCCACCTGTCCTCGCCCCGTCCTGACACTGTCCTCCACCCTGTCCTCGCCCCTGTCCTCCACTGTCCTCGCCCCGTCCTTGACACCTGTCCTCCCCTGTCCTCCACCCTGTCCTCGCCCCTGTCCTCACACTGTCCTCCACCCTGTTGACACTGTCCTCCACACTGTCCTCCCCTCCTCCACCCTGTCCTCGCCCCTGTCCTCCACCCTGTCCTCGCCCCTGTCCTCCACACTGTCCTCGCCCCGTCCTTGACACTGTCCTCCACACTGTCCTCCGCCCCGTCCTTGACACTGTCCTCCACACTGTCCTCGCCCCTGTCCTCCACACTGTCCTCGCCCCTGTCCTGACGTCCACCCTATCCTCGCCCCTCCTCGCCCCTGTCCTCCACCCTGTCCTCGCCCCTGTCCTCCACACTGTCCTCGCCCCTGTCCTCCACCCTGTCCTCGCCCCTGTCTTGCACATTTCGTCCCTGAAACATGGCTGTGAGTCAGGGCTGTGCAGGGGCCACAGCATGTGTGTGTCTGCATAATGAGGAGACGCTGCTGCTGTAAATGACAGAAATGTGTCAGCGCTGCTGTTCTGTGGTCATCAGTCGGGTTTGTGTCACAGATTATATTCCTTACTTTTTGAAAAACAGGAACCTTAAATTGCTCGTCTGTTGCTGTGGTGTGAATGGTCTCTATCAGCTCTATGTATGCACTGCTTCACATTTTCCACAGCGAGCTGGATTGGAATCTTTGTCGGGCTGACTCTGGCCCGCGGGCCTCATGTTTGACACCAGCACTGAAGCCCTGATGTTCCTTCGGGGTTTTCTGATCAGAAAGGAGAGAGCGCCTCTGGCTGGAAGCCGTCAGTAAAGCAGCTCTGTGTCGGACACAACTGTGGAAGCACCGCAGGAACTCACGTGGTAGGCTTCGAGGCGCATCCTCTTGGCGGCGTTGCGTGATTCGCTCTCGCAGGCAGCAGCCAGGATGTTCTCAGCCATGGCCGAGGTGAGGTGAGGTGGAGTGGGGCGGGTCTGAAAACAACAGAAGCTCAGGGTCAGAGTCTTCGGGTTCTTCATCATCACGTTCACATCACTAACATCAAGGAAAATCATCCACAGCAGAAAAAAACAGAACAATTAACCAACGAGCTAAAAAAGCGATCAGCAGGAGAACATGAGGAGTGATCGTGAGAGTGGAAGGAAACGTCCAGGAGAAGGTAGTCAAACCGCTTCAGCTCACAGCGAGGAGGAAAACACACTGAGGAAGAGGAGGTGGAGATGAAGAATGAGGGCACCACAGGGAGGAAGAGCCTGAAGATGGAAAATAAGAGGTTTACAGGTGGGAGAGGAAGATGAAGGTAAACTGATGATCTGTGAGGAGAAGAGGAAAAACAAGAAGAAAAAGAGGATGAGGAGGAAGAACCAGAATAAGAAGAAGATGAAACAGCAGGAGATGAAGGACAAGAAAGCTTAGATGATGAAGAATAACATCAGCTATCCAAGCATGTGTGTCTCCACCACCAGGGGCAGCAGAGACTGTGCCGTGATTGGTCAGTTTGTCCTCCACACTCTCAGACTACATTTATGACATTGACCTTCAGAGCTCAGACTCAGCTGTGATGATCACCTGTGAAAGCTCCTGGCTCTGACCTTCCTCTGTGGACGCAGACGTGAGCACCGTGACAGAGACGCGCTGTGACTGCGTGGGACACGAGCTCCGAGTGTCGTTGTCACATGTTCCACTGCAGGCACCTGTACCTGTTCCTTTGGTATATTATCCGGTTCGAGCCCCGGCTTGGACAGTCTCAGTCGTTGTGTCCTTGGGCAAGACACTTCACCCGTTGCCTGCTGGTGGTGGTCAGAGGGCCCGGTGGCGCCAGTGTCCGGCAGCCTCGCCTCTGTCAGTGCGCCCCAGGGTGGCTGTGGCTACAATGTAGCTGCCATCACCAGTGTGTGGATGACTGGATGTGTAAAGCGCTTTGGGGTCCTTAGGGACTAGTAAAGCGCTGTATAAATACAGGCCATTTACCATTTATCCTGAGCTCGTGTCCTCTTTAGCCCCCGTCCTTCTGACCTTGTGTTTAGGTCACAGTGAAGAAACCACTTCAGTGCATCTGAGACCTTCACTTTAAATGCGACTCTACAGAAGTTCAACCATCCCAGCTAACCTTTGAGAACCGGTCCCCTCGTCTCGCAGACGCCCCCTGCAGGGACCACCAGGGTGGACAGATTAAAGAAATAAGCAAAGAAGAAGAGCAGCATGCATGTTGCAGTACCTCCATGCCGTTCTTCTTCATGCGACGGCAGGATTTGAGGTAGGTGCGGATGCGCTTGCGGGCGCGTTCCTGGAACTCTGGGAACTGTCTGCTGCAGGACTCGATGATGGCCTGGATCTTCTCCTTAGGCTGCTTGGAGATAGGCACCATCCGATCCAAGTTCTCGTCCACAAACAGACGCACAAACATCTGCAGGAGAGCGCACACACAGGTAATACCTACATGCATTGACACAGTTCATACACTGGAGAGGAGTTGAACAAAGACAAAGATAACAGCTGGACTGTTCTCATAACACCTGTTTAAATGGTTTTAAGTCTTAAAGTTTGCATTTGTAGGGGGTGTGGCCTATTGACTGACTGTCTGCTAGGCTGAACTGGACCTCTGCACCATGCTTGTGTTGTTGGAGCCTTTTGGAGCATTTTCAATGCACAGATGTGATCAGCATCCTCTGCTCCTTGTCTGTTCTTCGCTCTAAGCAAACGGTCGTTGGCTGTTCGTCTCTGCTGGGCAGAGCGTGTGAACACCTGTCTGCAGTGTCTGGAAGCACAGCTAACGCTAGCTTTGATCATTCGGTAGATTGTGATAATAAAAGTGGATGAAGGTTCAGATGTGTCGTGCTTTGGATCGATGCCTCGAACAGCTGTCCGACATTTCTGTTTATCAGCATAACGTTTGTTGATGGACGTCATTCAAAGCGCCGTCTCTCACTTACATTAAAGGCTTTTAATCTCTCGGGGTCGACGCCCTCCGTGTCGTTCATCTTGTCGTTGTCGTCGTGGTCGTCGTGGTCGTCGTCATCATCATCGGGAGCGCCCTGGCTGCCATGACGCCCCACGGTCAAGTCTTCGGCGCTCAAGTCCATTTTCATGCTGTCGTAGCTGCCGCCTGAACTGTACTGTGGGGACTGAACACACACACACACACACACACACACACACACACACACACACACACACACACACAGTTACGAGCAGCTCTCTGTTTTACACGTTTCAGGGCTGTAAGTGGCTCGGCTGTTCCGACGGACTCGTCCTTAATAAAACACTAATTAAGAGTCTTGTTAGTGTCTGACGGCTCGCCAATGAAAAGGTGCCTACACAGCAAAATCTCCAGTGTTAAATTAACACTGGAGATTTTGCTGTGTAAATATAAAGATTTCGTTCACTGCTGCAGACACTCAGACATCATCATGACGAGTAATTATCAGCTGGAGAACAGTCCAGGCAGGATCACCTTACTAATACTTGAACACTTTCAAGAGAACCAAGTCAAATACTGGTTCCCTCTCACAGCACGAAGAACACCGCCTTTAAAAACACAAATACAGGACAGGCTGCCATCAAAAAACCAGGAAACACATGAAAGAAAACCATTGAGACCAGTGAGACTTCTGGGAGAAGCTCTGTGTGCAGCTGGAGGTCAAACTGAGAGGCTCGGCGGTAAAACGGTGCAGAAACCAGTAAAGAATGTTTTCATTATTTTTCAGTTATGTGCTCAGAGCAAAGTTCAGATGGAAACATCAGACTGACGTATCAGATCTATGACATCACAGAGAGTCTGAGCCGCTAACTGTGTGAGATGAAAGCTTTTATTGTGACGGGCAGAAACAGGAAGAAGTCCACAGAACAAATTGTGGTTCTGTTACGGATGACGTCATGACGACCAGGTCGTCGCTGCTAACGAAACCTGAACTAAGATTGGAGCCCAGGCAGTCATGTGACTCCTGAAAGAAACCCACTCAAGCTGTGTTAGACCGCACTCCATAACAGCGTGCACGTGCACACACAC